CCACCCTCTCCCCACCCTCTCCCCACCCTCTCCCCACCCTCTCCCCACCCTCTCCCCACCCTCTCCCCACCCTCTCCCCACCCTCTCCCCACCCTCTCCCCACCCTCTCCCCACTCGCCCCACTTATCCCACTCCACACTCGCTGAATTTTACTTCTCCTCGCCCTGCTCTGCTCCCTTATGCTTCAAGCCCCCATTCCCTGTCCACTCTCCTCGCCCACCACCATATGTACCCCTCCCCACCCCTTTCCACCTCCCCACCCTCCTCTACTCCCCTCCATGTCCCCTCTGGTGCACCTGTCAGCCTCACGTCGCTGCGACTTAACTTGCCTGATCGATTTTTGAGACGCCCCAAACTCCCTTCTCCCTCTGCTCGCGCCCTGCTGCCTTGCCTACCTGTGTGCCTGGCATCAGGTATGACTTGACGCGCCTGATAGTGGGCAGTGAAGGCACACTGGCTCTTGTCACCGAGGTACGGATGACACTGAGGTACGGATGGCGCTGAGGTACGGATGGCACCGAGGTACGGATGGCACCGAGGTACGGATGGCACCGAGGTACGGATGGCACTGAGGTACGGATGGCACTGAGGTACGGATGACACCGAGGTATGGATGGCACCGACCGATGTAAGGATGTTTGTCATGTACGGACGGCATGAAGCTTCCGCTGGTGCAAGATAGGTAGGTACATTTGGGTTGCTGGCTTTTTTCAGGGGTTGTTCTAAATTGTGAAAATGCGCGTTACTTGTTTTTTCTTCTCCTGAAGTTCCTTTGAGCCTCACAAGTCCTCCTTGAGCTTCTATCCGTTTGTGAGGTTCACACAACCGGATGCTCTTTTGAGCTTCAATCTTACTCCACACACCACACAAGGAGTTGCTTTCTGTTTCTCCTCCACACGCCTCCACTACCCCGTGCATGCACCATGCATGCATGCAGGTGGCCCTTCGTCTGTACCCCCAACCCGAGGCTGTCTCTGCTGCTGTCTGCCCCTTCACATCCATTGCCGGTGCCGTGAGTTCACCCTCAGGGGGTTGTGGTAAGTGAGTTCACCCTCCGGAGATTGTAGTAATCGAGACAGTTTCCCTCCTCTCACAACACACCCACCATGTCCGACACTCACTAACCATGTTCCCACCACTCACTCACCACGTTTCCTCCACCATGCCCCCCCCATCATCCACACAAACTCACCACCCACCCATCATGTCAACAACCACAGACTCACCACTCACCCACCTCACTTTCCCACCTCACTCACCCACCTCACTTTCCCACCTCACTCACCCACCTCACTTTCCCACCTCACTTTCCCACCTCACTTTCCCACCTCACTTTCCCACCTCACTCACCCACCTCACTTTCCCACCTCACTTTCCCACCTCACTTTCCCACCTCACTTTCCCACCTCTCTTTTTCCCATGCATCCTCGCCCTTCAGGTCGACACGGTGATTGAGACGATTCAAACCGCCATCCCCGTCGCACGCATAGAGCTCCTAGACGAAGTGCAGGTGAGCTAGCTTTTTCCCTTCCTTCGTACAATCCTCAAAGGGCATTTTTGTCACATATTGTCTTGACTTTGCATTCAGTTGAGTTTCGAGGCGCCGCAAAAGTAGATTCCCGTCACATGCTGTCTTGTCTTCCGCATAGAGCTCTGCAATAAAACGAGGTGACTTTTGAGTCGACTCAAAAGTCACCTCAAAACTAGATTCCCGTCACATGCTGTCTTGTCTTCCGCATAGAGCTCTGCAATAAAACGAGGTGACTTTTGAGTCGACTCAAAAGTCACCTCAAAACTAGATTCCCGTCACATGCTGTCTTGTCTTCCGCATAGAGCTCTGCAATAAAACGAGGTGACTTCTGAGTCGACTCAAAAGTCACCTCAAAGCTAGATTCCCGTCACATGCTGTCTTTTCTTCCGCATAGAGCTCTGCAATAAAACGAGGTGACTTCTGAGTCGACTCAAAAGTCACCTCGGCAAAACTAGATTCCCGTCACATGCTGTCTTTTCTTCCGCATAGAGCTCTGCAATAAAACGAGGTGACTTCTGAGTCGACTCAAAAGTCACCTCAAAACTAGATTCCCGTCACATGCTGTCAGGTCTTCCGCATAGAGCTCTGCAATAAAGCGCAGGCGGGATAAAGCTGGGGTAACATCTTCTTAGAATTCTCAGGAAACATCCCTGTTGGATACTGTTCTCGCATAGTTGAGCTCGCAGCACACATTCCTAAACGAAGTGCAGGTAGGCGGGCTGGAGGTTTCTCAAAAATTCTCGAAAAACATTCCTGTCAGATCAGGGAAGAGGTTGCGATGCGTACCCTTTTCCAACAGGTGGATGCAGTGAACGGCTACTCCAAGACGCACCTGCACCCCAGCCCCACGCTCTTCTTTGAGTTCCACGGAAAAGCCACACCAACTCATCCCCCCATGCTCCCCCTCTCATGTCACGAACCCCACCAGGTAGAAGCAGTGAATCGCTACTCCAAGACGCACCTGCAACCAAGCCCCACGCTCTTCTTTGAGTTTCACGGCACTGCTGCTGCTGTGGAGGAGCAAGCAAAGCAGGTTTCGGAGATCGCATCTGGCAATGGCGGCGGCTCGTTTGAGTGGTCGACGGCCCCTGAGGAGCGATCCAAGCTGTGGGCTGCCCGCCACTCCGCCTACTACGCTGCCTTGGCCCTCCGACCCAACAGCAAAGGGTGGGTGATGTCTCCTCTGCATCTCACTGCACCGCACTGCACTACTCCGCACTGCAAGAGAGGAGCGATCCAAGCTGTGGGCTGCCGGTCACTCTGCCTACTATACTATACTCTTCTATCCACCCTCCCACCCCCCTACCCCAGCCTCCTAGCAGACGTGTGTGTGCCTATATCGCGCCTCACAGAGCTGGTGGTGCTAGCGAAGCAGCAGATTCAACAAGCGCAGCTGGTGGCGCCCATAGTGGGCCACGTGGGGGACGGCAACTTCCACGTGCTCTTCATTGTGAGTGGATTGTCAGGCACGTGGGTGCGGATAGTGGGGTAAAGGGCGCGTGGCGTGTGAGGCGAGGCGCATGGGGGATGGAAACTTCCACGTGCTCGTCATTGTAAGCCAGTCGTGGGGCATGTGGGGCATGTGGGGCATGTGGGGCATGTGGGGCATGTGGGGCATGTGGGGCATGTTGGGGACATGGGGCAAGTGGGGGACATGGGCCACGGCACTTGACAAGCTCTGTATAGAAAGCTAGTCGCTGCTGCACAGGCCCACGTATTGGCTTTGCCATGCTGCTTGTTATCGGAATCAGAATCAGATCATGAGCTGCTATCAGGTGGGTTCCACACAATCTCTTTTTGAGACGCCTCAAGACTCAGATGGTTCCAAATAATCTATGCTTTATCCCGCGTGTCTGCTCCTTTCAACAGGTGGATCCGGACAATCAGGATGAGCTGGCAGCGGTCAAGCGAGTCAACAGTGGTCTTGCTGCCTGTCACCGGTCTCTCAAATGGTTTTCATTCGTCCTTCCCTCCTGTCACGTGTCTGCTCCTTGCAACAGGTGGATCCGGACAACAAGGATGAGCTGGCAGCAGTCAAGCGAGTCAACGACAGTCTTGTGGCGCGTGCCATTGCTGTGGGCGGCACATGCAGTGGGGAGCATGGTGTGGGGTGAGTGGGCATGGCATGGCGTGGGGTGAGTGGGAATGGCATGGGGTGGCTGAGTGGGCATGGCATGGGGTGGGGTGAGTGGGAATGGCATGGGGTGGCTGAGTGGGCATGGCATGGCGTGGGGTGAGTGGGAATGGCATGGGGTGGCTGAGTGGGCATGGCATGGGGTGGGGTGAGTGGGAATGGCATGGGGTGGCTGAGTGGGCATGGCATGGGGTGGGTGAGTGGGCATGGCATGGGGTGGGTGAGTGGGCATGGCATGGGGTGGGTGAGTGGGCATGGCATGGGGTGGGTGAGTGGGCATGGCATGGGGTGGGGTGAGTGGGCATGGCATGGGGTGGGTGAGTGGGCATGGCATGGGGTGGGTGAGTGGGCATGGCATGGGGTGGGTGAGTGGGCATGGCATGGGGTGGGGTGAGTGGGCATGGCATGGGGTGGGTGAGTGGGCATGGCATGGGGTGGGGTGAGTGGGCATGGCATGGGGTGGGTGAGTGGGCATGGCATGATCTGGCAGCAGTCAAACAAGTCAACTGTGGCTCGTGCCATTGCAGTGTGCGGCACATGCAGTGGCGAGCATGGGGTTGGGTGAGGGGCATGGGGTGGGGCTAGTGGCGTGGCATGGCATGGGATGGGATGCAGTGAGGCAATCTGCGTTCCGTTAAAGCAGATTCCGCAGCGGTAATCTGCATTCCGTAAAGAGGCATCGTGACTCCGCTGCGTCATTTGCTCTTCACTTTCCCATCTCCCCCTTCCCCCCCCCCCCCCTCTTCCCATCTCCCCCTTCCATCTCCCCTCCCATTCAGTACCTTGCACATCCAACGAGCAGCTAGGGCAAGTTACCCTTCTTGGAGTTGGAGCATGGCAGCGCAGCACTGGATGCCATGGCAGCATGGGACCCGCTTATCCTTCTTGGCAAGATACACTCATGCTGTGCTATCCCCCACATGCTATTCGATCCCCCACATGCTATGGCATTTTCTCTCCCCTTCTTCCCCACGAGCAGCTATGGCAAGTTGCCATTCTTGGAGTCAGAGCATGGCAGCGCAGCACTGGATGCCATGGCAGCGCTCAAGGCAGCATGGGACCCTCTTAATCTATTCAACCCGGGCAAGCTAGGCCAGTTCCGCCTGCCCTGATGGGGCGGTTCCACCTGCTCAAGTTCTTTCAGTTACATTCTCAGATCTTTCAAGGCTTGGCTGGTGTGCTGAAAAGCATGTCCTTTTCTGCACCTGCAAGGCTTTCGCTGTTTGTACCCCCCTGGTGCAATCATCAGCTGTACATTCACAATACACAATACGTACATTATGTATATTAAAAAACCGTATTCTAATTACATGTGAGCAGCTATCAACTAAATGCTTATTTAGCCACCATGTCTAGCCTCCCTGCCATGGAGAGCATCTGCCGTAGTGCAAGAACCTTGGCCTTCACACACAGATTCACCCCCACCACCAGCCCACCCCCTCCACCCACTCCGATGCCTACAGTTGCCCCTGTAGCAGCACCACCACCCATCCCTATCCCTGCAACTGGGCCAGGTGGAGGTGGTAAGTTCCCTGCTATACCTGGCGCTACTGGGGGTAGCGTTGCCCCCGCTGCTGCTGCTGCTGCTGCTGCTACAGCTGCAACTCCTGCCACTACAGGTGGTGCACCCAAAGCTGCTGCACCCACACCCCACGTCGCTGCACGGGCTGTCATGTTCGCCCCACCCGCAGCACCATCGTTTGCAATACCAGCGGCACCACCAGGCACAGCAGCAGGCATAGCAGCAGGCACAGCGGCAGGCATAGCAGCAGGCACAGCAGCAGACGGAACAGCAGCGCTGGCAAGCACAGGCATTCCAAACACGCCCCCTGCAGTGCCACCAATTGCAGCTGCTACTGCCATGCGCCCAGTCACTCTCCTGGGGTCCGCACCAGAAGAGACTCCGATCATCCCCCCCACTCGCCCTAGCCCTGCCCCGGCTGCCCCTCCTGCTCCCCCTGCTCCTCCTACTGCCCCTGCAGCTGCTCCTGTGGCCATCACGGTTCCACCTGCTGGGAAACCCATCACACTCCCTGCTGCTCCTGCGGCTGCTACCGCGCCCACTGCTGCTGCAGCAGCAACCATCCCCGCCCCTGCTGCTCCTGCCACAGGTGCCCCCACCGCTGGGACTGCTACAGCCGCCCCCACCGTTGGCGCTGCTGCTACAGCCGGCCCTAACGCTGGCACTGCTGCTACAGCCGGCGCTGTTACGGCTACCCTTCCCGCTGCAGCAGCTGCGGACCCAGCAGCAGCGCACATGGCGCAACACAGGCCCTTAATCACGATGCGCCTTAAGTTGGGGCACCGGAGCGCGATAGTAGCCACTACTGCCGCGTCAAAGTCCACGTCCGTCAGAATCAAAACCTCCAGCTCCGGGTGAAACGCGTCCGGCGCTGCCGAACCTGTCCCCGAACCTGTCCCCGAGGCTGCGGCGAGTCGGCTCGTGCCGAGCCAGGGGAAAGTGGATGCGGGCGCGGGGGTTGAAGGGGGAAGCGCGCCGAGAGCGGCGGGTAGGGTGTGAATAGAGCCTCCTACTAGTTCCAGCACTCTCAAAGACGTGCACTTGCGCAGCGCCAATAAGTCTTCGACCTCTAAAGCCCCCATGTGGATGCGCAGACACGACAGGTTTCGCCACCCAATCACCATGAGGTACACGGCCTGGCGAGTAACACTATTTCGCACGAGGCACGAAAACTGTCGCATGGAGCGGAAGCCCGAGGTCAGGTACCACATGGAACGCGCCTCGAGCAGACCGAAGGATGTTTCTACGCCGTGCGATGTGAGCTCCACCGACTCGACGTTTTTGCAGTAGAGAGATATGATCCAGAGGATGCTGCAGATGGCGGCCTCGTTGCGACTCGTCGCGTCGCGGTCGCAGTCGATGACGATGCGTCGCAGCGAGTCGCTGCATGCGACGATGATGGGGTGCAGGATGTGCAGCTCGCACCGCGGGTCGTCCACGTAGAGGTCCGTCAGGTTCGCGCAGCGCGCCGCGAGAAGCTCCACGCCTGAGGAAAACACGACGCGAGCGAGCGAGCGAGCGAGCGAGGCGAGCGGGCAGGCGCGCGGGCGGGCGAGGAAAGGAAAGAAGGAAGCGGGCGAGATCAGTGTGAATTCCGACTTATATCATTGATGGTGCTTTCGACGAGTGAAGTGAAAGTTCGAAAGGACCCTCTTGGAAGAATCACGAATTCCTCGAGCATGAAAGCGCCTCGAACGGACTTCCACGCGGTGACTAGTGGTTTCACGCCGCACGTTCTATAGGTGTTGCGGAGTGTTTTCAGCGTAGACGGCGCGTACTATACATCACTAGAGCACTAAAAGCGCTGCAAAAGGTGAACCTGAGGAGACAGCTCCCTACTCGTCGGCGTATAGAGGAGGCTCGTACAAACATGAACCGTCTCAGACGTGAACAAAACATTTACGCGGCGCGTCGGCGAAAGGCGGGCAGGATAGAAGCGATTCGGAAAGAGGCGGGTCGTACCTGGATGCATGCTGCCCGGGCCGATGCGGAGCTTGGTCCAGAAGACGCGGCTGTAGCACAGCTGCTTCCACTGGCGGCTCACGCACGAGAACCGGCACAAATCCCACGCCGTCGGATGCCCCGATTGAAGCACCTTCAATAAAAGGTCCTCGCTTAAATCCGACAGGGACGCCGGCCTCCGCTGCTGCGGCGGCGGCGGCTGTAGCGCCGGCTGTAGCGTCTCTTCCGTTGCGTGCTCTGCGGCTGAAGTGCTGACGTCTGAACTGCAGTCCGCTTCCAGGTCCGGAAGCATCAAAGAAGGCTCTTCGAGGCGGCGCCGCTTTGAGAAAGGCTCGGCGTTAGGCTCGGTGTCAGGTTCGGGTTTGTCGGACGAGCCCTGACCTGGCATGCTTCCGTGATGCGTCGGTGCGGGGACGTGATGCCGTAAGTTCCACGCTACGAGGTCTGAGAGACCTAAATCCATGGCTGTCGCTTCGAACTGCTTAGATGGCGAATTCCAAAGGCTCAAGTTCTGAATATGAGCGCCTTTCCTGTGCTGCGTTGGCGGAAGGAGAAAGTGATGGAAAGCTAGATAACGACGGAAGAATACCACCAGTTTCTTCTATATCCTGTTCGAGATGCTACGAGAGCTGAACACTAAGCTTTCACTTCAACTAACAAGATAAAACAAGGAAGTCTGACAGTGGGCTTGAGGGAACTGAGGTAAAATACAAGCTCCAATTGAGCTGTAAAACACACATCGTGGAATGATGGGGTAAGTGAGGGAGAGAGGGAAAGCGATGTCGAGAGGTGTCAAAGTTCCCGTCTCGATGGGCTGGAGAGCGCATGTGATGTGATGTCCCGTGGACGGGTGGACGGATGGATGCAAGGCGAACAGGTGATCGACGGTCACGTGCACAGCTGGAAAGGCTGCCATCGAGATTGCCCTCAGACGCCGCGTCTCGGGATTGGATGCGCGTTGCGCAAACCCCAAGCTCCAGATTTCGTTATGCGTTTTCCCCCTTTCTGCCTTCCTTTTCCTCTTGGTAGCCCCCGTGATGCAACGCAACCTGGATGGCGTACTGCTTCCTGCCCGAATGCGTTGCTGCTGCCGCGCGCTGCTCTCTGCTTGCAACACCCGCTCCCGATACTTGATGTCGTAGGCGGTGACGAATCAAATTTCCATCATCACGATGGCAGGTGAAACTCACAAAGAAACCTGGTGGTGGGGTGGTTGAGGTAGTGGCTGTTTTTGTGGCATGTGTGGTTTGCTTGAAATTTGAAACGGGGCGAGGTGTCTTGCGGGCCGTGCGTGACGTGTCACTGATGTGAGGGGCCGGGGTGGGGAAGCAGGGGCTTGCTTGAAAGTTGAAACGGGGTAGCGTTTGGGCGGCGCGTGATGTCCGAGGGTCGAACCGCGCCGCATTCGCATTGTCAGCAAGCCACGCCAGGAATCCGAACTCAGCATTGCGGTGCGAGTTGCTGAATGGAAGCGGCAAGCCACCGCCACTAACTGAATTCACAAGTTACACGAGGTTGGGGAAATATTTCCGTCCTCCGTTTACTATTCCGTCCACTCCGGCAGTTGCATCTGATGCGTTGTGTGCATCCCGCCCCTGCCTTCTGCATCCTGCCTTCAGCAGGGACGACATTGCTGTTTGACGTAGAAATTCTTTCAGCTTGCGAGCGATGCCGTTTTCTGATGTGGTTGGTGGAAGGAACTTTGGGACCAATTCAAGGTTCAACCAGTCGCACACTGTATACTAGTACAGATACTAGGGCAACTGTAATCCGCTGATCTGGCAACGTGAGTGTGTCGTCACCATGCAGAACCGTAACCCTCTTCGTGGCATCTGACCTGCCTGGTGGCAAACGAAGCAACCGGAAGCACAGTTACTCGATGACGTCAGATATCCACGTAACATCTCGACTGTTCGCCTGACAAGCAGGATCGTTCCAGATGCAACTCGCGGTCCAGTTGGCGAGCTGAACGCTGTCCGACAAGTTCGTTTGGCTTGAATACGTGTACAGTATCTCTTTCTTTTTGGGTTTCATTTGCTGACGTTCATCAGCCGTCAAGCCCAGGAGGGGAGAACCCGGTTTCGTCGATCGCGGCGCGTTAGCGAAGGAGAAGGACCGCCGAAGCAACTCACGAAGTTTCACTAGCCCCAAACCAAGCCCCCACGAGTTTGCGGGCGGGGAGTACCCCAATTATAGGAACAGGCTCAATGGATTTGCTGCAACCTGCCCTCGGGTTTTATTAGGGGTTTCAAGTTTCCAGTCTTTTTACTCCAAGCTCGATTTCCAACCAGAACATCTGGTTGCTGGTGTTGTACACTACTCTTATTCCATCATAAGCAATTCTTGTTTTGGAAATACAAAATCTGGTGTGAAGGTTGATGCACTGTACTGTACAGGCTGATGCGAGGTTGCCCTAGATCATCTGGGGGCCATCTGAACTCGTGAAGGAACACGTGTACAGTAGATAAAAGATTTTCCACCGTGTGTATCTGCACTGCTATCATTACAGCAGCCATTGGAAATTCTGGCCCAATAAGACGTCAATTGAAATGTCTGAGGTGGAAGCGGACGGTCATGGCTACAGTGTCATTCTGACAGTCTCGGAAAAAATAGAACACCAGAGAAGTTACAAGATGTCCCAAATAGTCTTCTACCAGTTACGGATGTGTGCATGTCATAACGTTATGATTATTATCCCCGTTATTGTCCTCTAAAAAACAAGCTACTTAGTCCCAATGCCACAAAAACTGGTGTTTGCATCGAAGTACTGCATTTCTGGAATGGCATAAATGCCACAAACACTATCAACAAGAGATGGCTTCGATCACACACTTTGCAGTCTGAGTGAATAACAGAGTCAGTTAAAAACTTGGGATGAGCTAACGCAAGGTCATGGCTGTACGGATGCCAAGGGTGAGTTGGGGCCGGCCTTTTGTCCGGCAGACACAAGGTCCCGGAAGAGATTGCCACTGGTCCAGCTGCCGCCCAGACTTTTCCTGCCAATCCCTCCGTTCCCTTGCCTCATCATGGCAACAAACTCGTTATAGTCAATGATGCCATCCTGCAGTTAAGAACAACGCACGAGTGCTCGTCAAACCGAAACGATTGCGGGAGCCACAGGTACGAAAGCACTACTAAGTCTCCAGAAACATCAGAATAATTCTGCCAGGATAGTAACAGCAGCATCACTCTCTGAGACTCTCTAACATCACTATGCAAAACCCGACACTAACATCACTCACGTTGTTAGTGTCAACGTCGCGCATGGTCTCAACAATGCACTCCTCATCCACCCCATACTCGCAGCACTCTTCCTGCAGCTTGTTTTAGTATACCTCAGGAGTTTCAACTGCAAATGGCTGCTGCACTTACATTGTTACCATAGTGTCAAAATCGCGCATGGTCTCAACGATGCTCTCCTCGTCAACTCCGTACTGGCGGCACGCGTCCTGCAGCTCCTGACTCGACACTAGCAGCACCAAGCACAAACCATCTTCTCACTCACATTGTTAGTGTCAACGTCGCGCATGGTCTCAACGATGCACTCCTCGTCCACCCCATACTCGCGGCACGCGTCCTGCAGCTCATCGGTGGAGATGAAGCCGGAGGAGTCCTTGTCAAAGTAGGAGAAGGCCGCAAACAACGTCTCCTCGCGCTCTATCTTGTTCAGCTGCACTGTCGCTGCCAGGAACTCGCCGTAGTCGATGGTGCCGTTGCCATCAATGTCAGCCTGGATTGGGGGGGTTCAAAGGGGAGAGGGAAACACGGAGGGGTAAGAACATGAAAACCAGCTGCAGGGTGCGTCCTGCTGGGAGCGTCCTGCAGCTCATTGGTGGAGATGAAGCCGGAGGAGTCCTTGTCAAAGTAGGAGAAGGCGGCAAACAGCGTCTCCTCGCATCTTGTTCAGCTGCACCGTCGCTGCCAGGAACTCCCCGTAGTCAATCGTCCCATTGCCGTCTGGGTTGGGATTTGTGGGGGGTGGGACGCAGAGGTAACAACATGAGAATCAGCTGCAGGGTGAGTCTTGCAGCTTCTCCATTTCGTTGCGCGTGGAACCAATCCTCTTGAGCCCGGCACGCAGCTCCTCAAACAGATGGTGCTGCTGCCATCGACTCAGAAGCCCCAAGCCCAGACACGCACAGCCAAGACCCAGACACCCACTCCTGAGGAGCTCAGCTCACCGCATCCATCAGCTCTTTAATCTCCATGTCGTTGAGAGTGGACCCGATCCGCTTGAGCCCGGCGCGCAGCTCCTCATACGTGATGGTGCCGCTGCCATCAGTGTCCATCATCTTGAACGTCTCCTTGAGCCCCGAGATCTCCTCCTCCGACATGCTCTCTGCAATCACCCGCAGCGCCATCTTCTTCAGCTTGTTCATCGCAGTGAACTGCTTCAGCCTAGAGAGCACTGCTGAGCCCAGCGGCTTGTCAGGTGCGACGCCATCCTTTGCCACCCACGGATGGCCTGCAGGGAGGGAGGGGGGCAGTACAGTAGTAGTGGAGGGAGAGGAGATGGAAAGGCGGACAGAGCACGGGTTGATCAAGCCGTGCCGCTGCCGCCAGTGCCCATCATCTGGAGCGACTCCTCAACTCCTTGAGCCCCGCGACTAGGAATGAAGTCAGAAGAATCTCCTCCTCCTCCTTTTGAGTCGACTCAAAAGCAGACTCCTTGAGCCCCGCGACTAGGAATGAAGTCAGAAGAATCTCCTCCTCCTCCTTTTGAGTCGACTCAAAAGCAGACTCCTTGAGCCCCGCGACTAGGAATGAAGTCAGAAGAATCTCCTCCTCCTCCTTTTGAGTCGACTCAAAAGCAGACTCCTTGAGCCCCGCGACTAGGAATGAAGTCAGAAGAATCTCCTCCTCCTCTGACATGCTCTCTGCGATCACCCGCAGCGCCATCTTCTTGAGCTTGTTCATCGCCGTGAATTGCTTTAGCCTAGAAAGCACAGCTACGCCCAGAGGCTTATCTGGTGCGACGCCATCCTTAGCCACCCATGGGTGGCCTGCAGGGACGGGAGCGGTGACAATAGGGGGAGAAGAATGGAAAGACGGAAAGATAGAAAGAGCACGGGCTGTTCAAGAGAACAGCGGAACCTAGAGGCTTGCTGGGTGCCACTCACGAATGGCCTGCAGGCAGAGAGGGAGAGGGGGCAGCGGGAAGTGGGGGAAAGGCGGGGGGGGGGGGGGGGGGGGGGGGGGGGGGAAGTGGGGGAAGGGAGAGATGGAATTGGGGAAGGGCGTAGGCACGACTGGCAGTGAGCGAGTGCAGCGCAGTGCATTGGAATGCAGTGCACACACAGAGGACGTCATAAGCAGAGTAGCGCTTCTTGGGGTCGAGGCAGCACATGTGGTGGCGGATGAGGTCCTTGGAGTCGTCACTGATGGACGGCCAGGGCACTCCCTTTCCCTTTTCTTCTCACTCATTTCACACACAACAAAGCACCTGACGCATACCTTACCCTCCTCCCTCATTTCACACACGGAGAAAGGGATTGAGAGTAAGAGACAGAGGGCAGAACACTCACAAAGAACATCATAAGCCGAATAACGCTTCTTGGGGTCGAGGCAGCACATGTGGCGGATGAGGTCCTTGGAGTCCTCACTGATGGACGGCCACGGGTCCGACTCAAAGTCCAGCTCGCCGCGCAACACCGCCTCGAATATGCCCTGCTCCGTCTCTGCAGGAGGAGGGGAGGCGGGAGGGAGCACAGAGGAGGAAGCGAAACAAAGATGGTGTTCACTTGATGCGCTTCACACGTCCAGCCAGCCCCGCAGCACCACCTCTAATATGCCCTGCTCCGTGTCTGGTGGGGCTCGTGGGTGGAGTGTGGTGTGAGGAGGAGCACGTGGGCGGAATGAGGAAAGTGATGGGGCAGGGGGGAATGAGTGCACATGAGCATTGGCATCGCAGCAGTACAGCGTGGACGAGTCCAGCTCGTCTCGTGCGTGTGTGTGTGTGTGTGTGTGTGTGGGGGGGGGGGGGGGGGGGGGGGGGTGGGGTGTGCAGAAGGTGAAGGAGCAGCGGGGTATGCAGCATGCGTGCACATGAGCATCGCCATCACAGCGGTACAGTCACAGTCTGCACGAGTCCAGCTACAGTCATTAGCATTGTATGCACGAATCCAGCTCGCCCTGCAGCACCGCTTCCGGCTCTGAGGGACGGTGTGGGGAAAATGAAGGCGCAAGGGGGGTGGATGTGTGTGTAGGTGCATGCACTTGAGGAACGACATGGTCATTCTTCCGTGTGCATGACCAGACCACCACCCCCACAAGCAGCACTGCGCCAAATATCGATTGCTCCTGTGTTTCTGTGTCTCGGTGTGTGGGGTGCACGCGTGGGAGGGGAAGGGGAGGTGGGGGAACGAGGTGGTGGGACAAAGGGAGATGAGGGAGAGGGGGGAAGGGGGTTGGGGTGGGGGGTGATGGGAGGGGGGAGGGGAAGGGAGGTAGCATTACAAGTTGCGGGCAAGTTTAGTTTGGACGGACGTTCCTAACTAAGCGAGTGCATGATGGTAAGCAGGTTTGTTGGTTTGTACCTCATGATTACCTCCTTCTGATTACCTCATGATTACCTCCTTCTGATTACCTCATGAGCCTAATGAAGCATACTCAGAGGGTCAAACCCATCCTATCTATTCACGCACCCGCCCAGAAGGGCGGCAGACTCACCTGCCCAGAAGGGCGGCAGACTCACCTGCCCAGAAGGGCGGCAGACTCACCTGCCCAGAAGGGCGGCAGACTCACCAGCCCAGAAGGGCGGCAGACTCACCTGCCCAGAAGGGCGGCAGACTCACCTGCCCAGAAGGGCGGCAGACTCACCTGCCCAGAAGGGTGGCAGACTCACCTGCCCAGAAGGGCGGCAGACTCACCTGCCCAGAAGGGCGGCACGCCGGAGAGCAGGATGTAGATGATGACGCCCATGCTCCACACGTCCGCCTTCTCGTTGTACCGCCGCCGCAGCACCTCCGGCGCCACGTAGTACGGGCTGCCCACCACGTCCGACAGGTACTCGCCTGAGAGGAGCGATTGGGGGTGGGACAGCAGGGGGGGTGGGGGAGGGGGAGGAGGAGGGGGAGGGGGAGGGGGAGAAGGAGGGAGAGAAGGAGAGAGAGGTGGAAGGGGGGGTGGGGGGTGTAAGGTGAAGCGATCCAGGAAGGCCACCGGTGGCACAACGTTGTAGAGACTGCCCACCACGTGCAACAGGTACTCGCCTGGCGGGACAGCTGCCCTGCCGGTTTGGCAGGGCAGCACAACAGGCGGGGATGGAGGGGCGTTAGGGGAGGAAGGACGTTCGGGGAAGAAAAGGGGAAAAACAGGAAGGGTGGGGGAAGGGGGAGGCGGGGGAGGGGGAAGAGGAAGGGGGGGAGGAGGGGGAGCGTGAGGGAGGCGGGGAAGGCAGGTGGAAGGGGAAAAAGAGCGGGGGGGAGGAGAATAAGAAGAATTGATCTACAGGGGACTTATTAGGCACGTAGCACGGACAGAACTGCACTGCACTACACCTCACTGAACCGCACCGCATTGCACCCACCTGGCTTGAAAAAGTAGGAGAGGCCGAAGTCGGTGGCCTTGAGGTCGGCAGTCTCGGACTTGTTGGCGAAGAGGAAGTTCTCCGGCTTGAGGTCGCGGTGGATCACGCCCAGCGAGTGGCACGCCTCTATCACCTTCGCGATCGTCCGCGTTAGCTCCGCCGCCTGCCGCTCACTGCGCGGGGCGGAGCGGGGCAAGGGCGGGCGGGAGGGGGGCGGGAAGGAGAGGAGAAGATGGGATGGAAGCGGGGTGAATGGGGGAGGGGATGGGGAGAAAGGGGAAACGGAGGGAGTGGGAAATCGGGAGGCGGAACGGAGGGAGGAAACGAAGAGGAAGCAGACTGGCAAAAGCTGAGGGTTGCATGTTAGAGTGAGTGGGCGCGTGTGCGTTTGTGAGCGTATGCGAGCGTCTGCGCGAGTCTGCGTGTGCGCGCGCGTGTGCGGACGGGTGAATGTGCGTGCGCGTTCACGCGCATGTGGAGTGTGCTTGTCTGTCCTGGGAAGGCAATTGAAACTCACTCTTTCTGGACCCGACGCTCAAGCTGTTTCACCACATAAGATGAATTTCACATTGACTTCCATAGACGACAACATGGCGCAGACGCCATACACACACATTGGGACCATCGCGATGTGAAACAAGAAATAGAGACACTTCTCGGAGACGACAAAAAAAAAAAGTCACATGCACTGACCACGCCTGTGTGATGAAATCATCAACGAGTCCTCCTTTGAGCGAAATTGGAGTTCATTGTAAACGGCTCCTAGACCTAGCTACCCAGACATTTCCCACCTAAAGCGAACGCTCCCCACGTACGTTACAATACAGCGTACACTCCGACGCTCGCAAATTATGTAACAAAGCGCCAGAAGCGCTCACCCTTCGAGCGGAGATGATTGAAAGTGCAGACGAGTCTCAGACCTAATGACTTAGGAGTAACCCCATCAGCAAGCGTTCACCATGTGCCTGCCATGAAGTTATATTCCGTGGCTACAGCGTACACTCGACGCTTACCTGTAGTGACCCTTTTTTATAATGCGCTCGAACAGCTCGCCTCCCGTGCAGAGCTCCATGACAATGTGCACATTCGCGTGATCCTCGTACGCGCCCTTGATGCACACGATGTTGTTATGGCCCGACAGGTGATGCATAATCGCCACCTCGCGTTTCACGTCCTCCACGTCCTCCCTCGATATAAGCTTCTTCTTTGCAATGGTCTTGCACGCGTACTCCTTCCCCGTGGCTTTCTCCGTGCACAGGAACGTCACTCCAAACTGACCCTGCCCGAGCTTCTTCCCCAGCTTGAATAGCGACTCCAGTTGCTCTGCGCAAAATGTCGCATTTTATTTCATTGTTAATAATGTTGAAAACCGTCGCTTGATTTTAGGTGGTAAAATGTGGCAATGTATGCCTAGGAAAACTTGGAGCTTGCGAGAAGTGTCCTTGTATCTAAATTTAAGACATGAAAATGGGAACCGAGCATCAGGAATCTTCAGAAGGAATGGAAATAAAAATTTTGGAAGCAATGAGCCGTCGAAATGGCTCTAACTGCGCGAAGGCCACTAAGATATTAAGGAAATATTAAGGGAGCAAGTAAATACCTGTTCTTCTACCCAAGACAGATCCATGAAGAGCGTGGCCGGGAGCCAACCGCTCGTCAGCAAACTTCACTCTCCGGTCACCCATTATATCCACCAATCCCTAGTAAACTCAACAATAAAATATGCGACGACAGCTATTTAAGGCTTCGCTGCGCGTGAAGCTACCGATAGAAACCGACAGCTCCTAGAAAACCTACTAGGGATGGAGGATAGCTGCTGGAAGAGGGATGCCTGGAAATTGGTGAGTCAAGTGTTCAGGAGGCCCTGTAGTCTCCGAGAGCGGCCCAGCAAAAAGGCGGTCCTCTTGGGAGGGCTCTTGACACTCGCTCCACCAAAGCCCGAACCAGGCGAGAGGTCCGTCCAACGAAATCAAACCCACTCTTCCTCCCCAGACCACTTCTCCAGCCTCGGTACCGAATCCCAATGGATATTCCAGCCACTTCTCCAGCGTGGGACCCTTTCACTGATCCCTAACCTGCATTTGTGGGAGCGGAGTGGAACTCCAGGTTGCCCCTTCAACACGGAATCCCTCACCTCAGAATTGTTTAGAAAAATGGGCACCGTATAAAATGGAGAAATGCGCGTGTATCGGCTCGTCGTCAAACATGTTTCGAAACCAGCGCTGCTGTGTATCTTTTTTTACAGTACCAAACCACGCTCGGTCCGGTAGGGGTTGGAATGCAATGCCGGCGCAAGCTAAACTTTTCGTTGAATCCCCCGTCCAATTAAAAACTACCCGTCCGTCAGATTTTTGGGATTGGTGCGGGGAGTTCAATTCAATCCCATTTGACTGCCTCTCCTCGCGTTATTAGGGCGTGTCCCAATTGTTCGTTGACAGTTCTTGTTGAGAGTGGTAACCCTTTTTTCACATTGTAATCAAACAGATAGTGATACTGTAGATGCAACTCCACGATGACGCGCCACTGTGGTTTTTTTTTTGCGATGTTACACTATGAAAAATGTACAACGCTTTGGCAGTCGTAACTGTACTCTTAGGGAAGTGCCACGGTACCGGGTAACGCGGATTCCTTGCGATACATCTACGGTGGTTGGTGAGTCAGCTTCGGATTGTCCCAGACAGCGCTGAAACTGCCCTTCCATGTCAGCGGCGTCACTTTGCTGCAAATCCGCTTCATCACCACCGCCTCGTCAGCGTCTAAAAATGCCCACTCTCTGCTGCTCCCAACTGTGCCCCGCTTGCTTGCAGCCACCTGTTTGGCCAGGCAGTAAACCCTTGCATGCGCGAAAAATTTGACCACCGCCAGACGCATCACTTTTTTCGGCTGGAACCTGTTGTCCCGGTTGATCGCGTCACATCTTGCCAGCCATACTTGGTGAAGAGTAGTGGCGATGAAAGAACTCTCCGGGAAACCCGACTTCGTGCTCCTACGCGCCACTGTGGTGAAGTGTAGACGTCTAAAGATACGTTTAACCCACGTGCAATAACCGCAGCCATGGTACGTGCGACAATAGCGTACTGTGTCCTGCAGTCCGCGACCCCATGCTGAAAATCGCCCAACCCACAATTTAGCAAAAAAAAAAAAAAAAAAGACAATCGCAAAGGGATCCCGTGTCGCACCCCTACACCAAAATGTGGTTTTGTTTGTTTGTTACTGGTTGTGAGAGCTCCGCCAGATTCTGCTCGGACAATTCGCCCACCGGGCGGGTTACCGCTCGCGGCCCAGGTGAATTCTGGGCCCAGTTCGGCAGGCATTCTCGCCAGGGTTTTTATACGGGCAGTCACAAAACATTTCGGAGTTTTCACGAGCACTCACATGTTCCGCAAAATCTATCACGGACAGTCACAAAATCCGCCAAATCTATCACGAACCATTACGCGGGTATCACCCGCCGTCACTCAAAGGCACTAATTTCTATCACGGGTAGTCACACTCGAAACTTTGCTATCACAGATGAACCCTCTCATCATTTCGTTGACCCGCCCTGAAACACTGTACAGATTTAGGGACTCTATTTCGGATTGCTGGCTTTTGTCCTGTATACGCGACGATTTTGGGTGCAAAAATACCTGGTTACGTTCGAATCGATGTAACACACAATATCAAACAAACGCATATAGATATTGCTAGAGTTCACCATTTAAAGTATCTTCTTGAATGTTTAATCACATGCAATTTTGTGATTTCACGATTTTATATAGTATTTTATATCATTTGATAAACATTTAGGCAGATTCAATGAATTGTGAACTCTAGCAATATATATATGCGTTCGAATTCTTTCATAAAATTTTTAAAACAAAAGTGTGTTACGTTGATTCGAACGTAACCAGGTATCTTTGCACCCAAAATGGTCGCGTATACAGGAAAAATACCAGCAATCCGAAATATAGTCCCTAAATCTGTACAGTGTTTCAGGGCGGGTCAACGAAATGATGAGAGGGTTCATCTGTGATAGCAAAGTTTCGAGTGTGACTACCCGTGATAGAAATTAGTGCCTTTGAGTGACGGCGGGTGATACCCGTGTGATGGTTCGTGATAGATTTGGCGGATTTTGTGACTGTCCGTGATAGATTTTCGGAACATGTGACTGCTCGTGAAATCTCCGAAAAGTTTTGTGACCGCCCGTATAAAAACCCTTCTCGCCATTATCGCCATTATGGGCATTTATAAAGGGCCCCCAGAAAATGGCCTCCCGAAACTGATGCGAAAGCAGACTGCAGCTACAGTGAAACCTCGGAAAAATGGGCCTGTGTGTTCGGTTGGCATCAAAATGGGCCAAAATTAATGGCCTCAACCGAAAACGACCCTTCGCAGAAGCCCGTTTTCGCCTGCGCTGATGGAGCGCAGGATCACTGTACGGGCAGCCCAGGCAGCCCTGACAACCTGCGGGAAACGTTTAAAAAAATTGGTTCAGCCCGTCGATGGGTTCAGCCCATCGATGTGTTAGTGACGGTGTGTTGGTGAAGTGCGATTTTCCAGCGGGCACGAAGAGGGGTGAGAAAGACCGGGAATTTTTTTTTTTTCAGGGCAAGAAGTGATTACCCCTAATCATTGATCCGCCGCATGGTGCGGGACCTCGAGGCCGCATGGTGCGGCGGATGAGATAATGGCCAGTTTGCCTGAGAAATAGGGTTCGAGGAAGGTTCTTCTGGTGGAATTTGTCAGCGCTAAAAGGGCTGTTAGGCTGGCATTCCATTATTGTCTGGTTCGGTGCTGATCCGCTTATATCGAGCCTAGATAACCTTTCACGCGCTTATCAAAGAAGGTTCCAGGGTGGTCGGTTTACTGTAGCCCATACGGGGAAACCGTTTTTTTAATGCCTGCCGAACTGGGCCCTGGTTCGGAAGATGGGCTTGTGTGGGCGGGGCTGTGAGTCCGCGTGGGAAATTTCGTTTTGCGCTAGCGCCGACGCGCTGCATGTTTTTTTCGTCAGCGTGTATACTCTTTTGCTGACTCGAGATTACGTAAAAAAACTTGTGTTTTTGTCAAAACGAAAAAGTGGGACACGCCCTTAGCTTATCGAGTGGCAGCAACACAGCACATGTTTTTCACCAACAATGTTAGGCCCGCTGGCCTAAGTCCGCTAAGGAATTAGCGGGGTCGACTAGGTCGATGATAAACGCGGCGTGTGTACTCCTGGACGTTTCCTATCTGTCGGAAATGACGCAGACGCTTCCTAGCAGCTTCGGAGGCGTTCACCAAATCGAACCTACTTTTCAGCGCCGCTTCAAATCCTTCCCATGTCGTCGGAACCGTGGTAACATCCAAAGCTAGACTCCCTAAGCTCGAAGTTGCAGCTGCATGCCCCACGCCCTGTTGATGCCCGTCTAACTGAGCCCTCCGTACAGCAGTCTGCGTAAGTTGGCGCCACCACTCCAAGGTCGGGCCCCTCAGCAGCGTTACGGCGTACTCGATCCGCTGCTGCGCGTCCGCCTCTTGCACCCCGCTCGCGGCGAAGTAATTGTTGAGCATGAAGATCTCAAGATAACTAGGCAAGAATGAATGAACTAGCAGAAGTTTGGGTACAAATATGAAACCCTAGTTGGGGTTGTACCCCATATTGGCTACCCCACTACAGCCTACAAGCATAATACAGTTTAACACACCCCCATAGGCAAAGTGGGGGAGAACAAAGGGTCACAAGACCAGTCCAGCAAAGCAAAGCAAAGCCCAGGGTGGATCACAACGTCACCACACTCCGAGCACAAGTAAAGGCCACAAGGCCAGTTCACATGCAGTGCTAGATATAGTACAAGACAAGCAACACAGTGATCAAAACCTAGCAAGCAAGCAACAAGATATATATAAAGTACAGTACAAAGAATGTCAAGCAGTGAGCAAGTGAGGAAACGTGGACACAAGGCCTAAAGAAGTACAGTGCCGCTGATGATCACTAGGCGGGAGCGCCTTGGTGAAGATATCAGCAGTGTTGGCCTTCGAGTCCACGTACACAAGCCGAAGCTGACCGCGCTGCTGAAGCTCTCGAGCAAGAAAGTAGCGAAGAGCAATGTGCTTCGTCCTGTGCTCCAGTCTGTGCTCCTGACACAAGGCAAGAGCCGCCTTGTTGTCACCGTACAGAACTGGAGGAGAACTAGGCCGCTCTCCCAAGTCAGTCAGCAGGTAGGTGAGCCAGCGTAACTCCTGTGCAGCCATGGCTGTGGCGTAGATCTCAGCCTCACAACTAGAGCTGAGAATAGAAGAAGAGCGGGTGGACCGCCACGAGACAGAACCAGAGCCAAGGCTGAAGGTGTAACCCTGTGACGACCGCTGCGTAGCCAGGTCGTCCACCCAAGAAGCGTCCGAGTGACCAGTGAGGACAACTCTGTCGTGTCCTCCAAGCACCAGCCCCATGCCTGATGTACTGCACAAGTAACGCAGCACCCTCTTAGCAGCCTCCCAGTGCTCTCGCCTGTGTCTCCCAGGTGCAACGTAACGAGCAAGGATGCTAAGAGGGTACGCGAGGTCAGGTCGCGTGCAAGTCATCAGGTACATGAGGCAGCCTACAAGCTTTGGGTACGGGCCACTCGGCTCTACGGACTCGTCCGAAGGTGGAGCTGAGAGCGAGTGGCTGGTAGCCAGAGGTGTGGCCTGTGGTGAGGAGAACTGGAAGCCGAAGCGCTGA